TGAATAGATTATAATAGATGAATATATTTTCAAGCAAATTCTGATTTTAACCCTTCATCTACTATGCCGGAGTTACAACGAGCAAAAATGGGAAGGACCGCAAATATGTATTAGTAGAGCTAGAAAATCATCTGAACTGACAACCACATTTCATAAATGAGTACTGGCTATAGTACATGCGATGTCAGAGTGGTAGAGTGATTTTAGAGGGTATAGTTTCAACTATACCCTTTTCACAGAATGTTCCCACCAATAAAGGTCAAACGAAGGAATGCAATTTTTCTATCGCATTTGAATATCGTCGCACGACAATATCATGGCCGATGATATTTATAGCGTTAAATACTGATGAAGTACCATTGCTGGTATGTGCACGGCATGCCGGAAGCGGTGAGACGGACGTGGGAAAGAGGCGCGCCGCAAATCTATAATGCCGTTATCCACCAGCAGTAATACAACGGATTGCTTTGGACATATTAAAAACGAACTGAATTTTACCGCTTGTCACCTACGTCACGCTTCTATAGACAGCAAACAGAGAGTGTAGGTATGCCATTTTAGCCATTTTATTTGGAAATCATTATTGTATTGTATACGTGCCTTCTTGGATACATTTTAATGCATTAATCAACGAAGTAAACGGTATTTCCCATTTCCTTAACAGTAAACCTATTAAATGTGGTTTTATACGTTTATGAAGACTCAGCCATAGAGGACTCAGCCATAGAAAAATGACGGAAAGTCTAATTAAATTTAGTCTTGTCATTCTGATAACGCAACATAGGTCAGTTACTTTAATTGTTTCATAAGATTAGGGTTAAATACATTATTATTACTACAAGCAAGCAGTTTAATTAAAGAATAAAGTGGTAATATAATTAATGAAGGATAATATAATATAACATAATGTAATATAATATAATAAGATGAATCTTTCTATACTAAAATTATACTTGTTTTGTAACTCTATTATACGCATCTAATCACACCTAATTTAAAGTCCCAACCAGTTAATACGTAACTATATCATATAATTAATTTTTGTTATGCTTAAAAGTAATATTTTTCCTTCTTTCTCGTAACATTGTATGAAGAACTGCTACTTTTGATGAGTTTTTATTTATTGTATTCGATTAGGTATTTTCTAACGAAAGTTGACATATATCATCGGATAATCTTTTTTATCATAGTAATAATTCTTGTCACAGAATATAGATCTGCAGTAAATGGGTAAATGAAAGATGCGACATAAAAAGTAACCGAGATTTGTTTTGCTTATATTATGTCATTAATTTTTACGATATTTTTATTCAGCAGTTTTTGTTAAGTTTTCTCAGTCGCAAAATACTAAGATGTGATGTTAACCAAAGATATAAAGAAAATTCATATAATTTTGAGATTGGTACATAATATTATATGTACTTACAATAAATAAAAAATGATGAATGGTAGAAAATGCACTTTAAAAAAAAAATTGAAAACCAAGAAAGTAAACATATAGCAGAAACTCATTGATACTATGTATTCTTATAGTAAACGAACTGATCTTTCGAATGTTCCAAACTAGAATTAAACAGGTTATTCAGTTATTTTATTATCTTGTCTTAAATAAAAGTACCCCATTAATGGCGGTGCGCCATTAATACCACGTACGGACCGAAGTATCAAACGCAAATTAATTCGCATTAGTGCCACGGTGTCGGAGATAATGGATGTGATCAAGTTATGAAGTCCGCCCCATGGTTGATGGCGAGCACTTATCCCATTTTCACGGTGCCTTATCATTTAGCCTGCCGGTCTATGAATGTGCTTCCAAGCTGCTCTAATTCCAATTTCGTGGCTCGTTGAATCCCTTCTGATTGCGGGAACATCACCATCCCGTCCCTCTCGTCTTCGTCTCCGTCGCGTCTTAACGCGCGACAACCTCCCCAAGTTTTTCCATTTCGAAAGATTTCCTGTGACCCGCCCTCCCGCGCTCTGCTCTTCCGACATCCGGTCGCGACGCTGAGGTGCATATCGATCCCTCTTCCCTTCGTCGCCGCCCTTCCACAGAAGTAGGAACTCGCGCGTTCCCTTTTCACCCGTGTACAGAGTGACTCACAAGGGGTGGTCGCGAACTAACACTTCCATTATCACCGAGGTTTCGCACTACGTCGGTGTTTAACATTGAAACTGGCGAGCTTTAAATGTGACTACGATCTCTTTCGCGAAACAAGACGCTCGAGCACACTTACCTTTAATAGCTGTCCATCCCACTCCTGTTTCTTTAGACTTGGAGCATACGAGTGGAGTGGACAGCCATTATGACTGTGAGCACGTTTCAGATGTCTTCTTTCGTAACATAGAACGTAGCCTACATTATGTAAAAACAGTACCCGGAATTTCCCATTCGCGATGTTTGTACGACGACAATTTTTTGTATGTAACTAGGCATCATTGTACTCGGTTTTGCCTAGAGCTGACGTGATTTTCTAGTTTTTACTGAATTTTCTCGATGTGATGATTACATTCGTAGTTACGTCAGAACGTCACATGGTTCGTTTGATTTCGAACCTTAATCGATGAATAATTTTTTATAACATGTTTCAATATATAATTTGTATGAAAATTTGATTGTAATGAAAAACTTTTAACTTAAAAATAAAAGTCACTGAACTCTTTAATCACCTTATCCTATATCATACTAGCCTTTAGGAAGCACATTTTTTGTCTCGATTTAACAATAACAAATTGTAATGGATACTTGTTCAAATAGTGTACAAATGTACAAACGAAT